TACGCAGGCGCGCGATCCATTTTTCGGCGGGCGCACCTGAGGTTGGGTGGGTGCGGTGAGGGGACGGGTGGGGTGAGGTGGGGGACGGGTGGGGTAATTTTGAAAAGAAATAAATTGTTCACAGAATTTCACGAAAAAATAGTTTCATCAGTTTTATGCATGGCGTCGAGCCGAGAAGACTGACGTCTGCTCGCTCATCCCAGCGTCGCGCTATGCTCTCCCTCTTTGCAGTGATGACGTCAGCGTCGTCTGCGTCGCGTTACGATGCATCACGGGAAACATGGCGTCGTGACCGGAACCCAAACTGCATGCAGCGCCCCCTTCCCACACTCAGGATATACCAATGCCACAATGCTAGCACTGTTTTTAAAGCGGGCGGAGTTCCGGGGAAATCCAGCAAATGGCAAGCCAACGGCTGCGAAGTCGCCGCCAAACAAAACATTAGAAATTTCTATGACTTGCATGATTGTTGGTGGACAAATTTAGATGTTTTAAGCTAAATACGCAAAAACGTATCAAAGACAATGTTCGAGAATTAGGTATATTGGTAAGCATCCCAAAAATTCATGATAAATACGTGAACATAGTTTACTAAACAGCGTAATGATTTGAAAGTAGTAAATGGGCGCACTATTTCGTATCACTATTTTATCAAATTTCTCATGTGAATAATGGTCCGACTTTTATTATCTTTGCAGTTTTTATAAGTACACACCGTATTACATAGGACAGGAGTAACGGGGTCGCTGTAAAACCTATAGTAAAAAAGCGTAAGAAATTCTTACGGAAATCAGCTTGTGGCAGTGGTAGAATTGAGCGAGAGCGAGAGCGTCATCTGTCGTGGAGTTTGACCGGAACCATGCGCACGCGGCTCCCCCATGCGGCCCTCGTAGGCAGTCTGCTAATAGGGCATCCGTTCGAATTGAAATGTGTTGACAGTTGATTAAGCTTTGGCGCGTTCGGCTGTTTTTTTGCTTGCGTGTCTGCAAATACGTTCTTTGCGTTTCGTCGTGTTTGAACATGATTTGAAGCCGTAGTTTTCGCACTCAATTTGTCGCGCTACACATGGCTTCTAATCTTGTGACGAAGGAGCGTCTATCATGTGGGTCACCATCTCTCCTCCATCTTCTCTTACTTACACACTCTCTCTCTCTCTCTCTCTCTCTCTCTCTCTCTCTCT